CTCCACCATCTTAACTCAATTCTCTGGTTTTTTTCCTTTAATACTTGCAAGATCTGGAGAAATAAGATCTTTTTTTGTTACTGGTAGTACTGATTTGTGCCTTCTCACTTTATGTTTGTCAATCTTACTAGAAATTTATCAGTTTTTTAAAACCTCAGCTCTTATTTCATTGAGTTTTTTTCTGTCATTGATTTATGATCTTATTTTTATTATTCCCTTCTGCTTGTTTTGGGTTTATTTTGCTCTTCTTTTTCTAGGTTTCTGAAGTAAGAACTTAGATTTTTAAATTGAGATCTTTGCTCTTTCCTAACATGAGCATTTACTGCTATAAATTTCCCTCTCAGCACTGCTTTAACTGAATCCTACAACATTTGACATGGTATATTTTCATTCTCGTTTATCTCTGTATTTCTCTTTTTCTTTTGAGACTTCCTTACTGACTCATGGGTTATTTACAAATATGTTGTTTAATTTCTAAGTGGTTTGAAGATTTTCCTGCTGTATTTTTGTTATTGATTTCTACTTTTGTTTCATTATAGTCATACATGCACTAGGTATTATTTCAATTCTTTTATTTAATATTTAAATTTGTTGAGATTTTTGTTTGGTTTTTTGTTGTTGTTGTTTGACCCAGGCTATGGTATATGGCAATGAATGTTTTTGGGTTTTTGTTGTTGTTGTTGTTTTTTAAGATTTATTTATTTGAGAGAGAGAGTGCGCTTGCAAGTTGGGGGAGGGGCAGAGGGAGAGACTCTTTCAGGCAGACTCCACACTGAGCATGTAGCCTAACACAGGGCTCAATCCCACAGCCCATGAGATCATGACCTGAGCTGAAGTCAAGAGTCGGATGTTTAGCCAGCTGAGCCACCCAGGGGCCCCTGCAATGAAGGTTTCACGGGTGCTTGAAAAGTATTTGTATTTTCCTTTCTTAGGCAGAGTGTTCTATAGGTGTCATTTAGATCTTATTGGTTGATGGCATTATTCAGTTCTTTTATATCTTTGCTGATTTTTTTGTCTAATACTTCTACCACTTGTGCCAGAGTGAGGTATTGAAATCCCCAGCTATATGTGTGGTTTTCTCTTTCCTTTTAGCTTTATCAGTTTTTGTGTTATGTATTTTGAAGCTCTCTTGTTTAGTGCATCCACATTTAAGGATCACCATATTTTTTTCTTGGTGAATTGGTCATTTTATTATTATGTAACATTCCTCTTGGTCTCTAATAATTTTTTTTTTTTGCTCTGAAGTCTGTCCAATATTAATATAGTCACTTTTTTTAAAAAAATGTTTGCATGATACAACTCTCTGTTTCATTTTGTTTGAAGTGGGTTTCTTGTAGGCAACATATAGTTGGGTCCAATCTATGACTCTCTGTCTTTGAACTGGTGGATTTAGACCATTTATAAAACTTAAAATAATTATTGACATCTTAGGGTTTACGGGCCCAGACTATTTTTTACTCATAGAATTCATTATATATCCTTATTCATTCAGCAATAACCACAAAACATAAGTCAGGTTCCTTCCATCCTTCTTTCCTTCCTATCTTCCTTCCATCCATCCTTCAGAGCTTCTCACAGCATGACAGCTGGGTCCTGAGAGAAGCATTTCCAAAATGTAAGCATTTCAGGAGGCCCATGTGGAAACTGTAAGCCTTCTAAAGACTTAGCCTCGGGTCTTAAGTTCTAGAAAGTCACTTCTGCCACATTCTGTTGGTCACAGGCCCAACCCAAATGTAGTGTGGGAGGCAACTACACAAGAGCAGGATCACTGAAGGCCTTCTTAGAGTCTGGCTACCACTATCACTCATTCATATGCTAGAGTTGAAATCAGAGTCATGGGTATAACTCAGACCGTATCAACTAGCTAGTCACTCTGAGACTCAACTTTCTCATTTGTAAATTGAGGAGCCTGCAGTAGATGACCACTTAGGTCCCTTCTGACTCTATGATTCTTCATTTGTTTCTCAGAGTGTCTTTATATCTTTTTTCCCCTGCCTTACTGAGGTATAGTTGACAGTCTAAAATTGTGTATATTTAAATTTATGCAACTTGATGATTTGATAAATGTATACTTTGTGAAATATTGACCATAACCAGGCTACTTGACATATCCATCACCTTACATAGTTACCATTTTCTTTCTCTTCAGATGGATTTCTTAACGTGTTTATTAACATATTACTATTTTACCTCTGTGTAAAAGGAGACTTAAGCATTGTTACAGTAATCTCTGAACTACTCTAAAGCTCAGTTTGGCAAACTAATGCAGTTACCATTGGTTCCAGAGGTAGCCAATATTCAATATTAGAGTGCCTATAGATTATTTTAGCTATAGTGAATGGATCATTAAAGAAGCTAGAAATCTTATCTCAGTTGAGCAGTAGCAAAGCAACTTAACATTGGCCAGATTATTTCACAGAACTCTTCTTTCTGAAAAAAATGAAAATCTGCCAATTAGGGCTTTTCCCTTCCAACTTATATACATTTGATTATAAAGGTAATCAATCAGATTTTAGTTTGTAATTTATCTATTGTTATAAATTGAGCCTTGCTAAGCCTACCCAAACTTCCATTTTACCTGAATAACTTTCCCCCCCAAAAATCATAACTTGTTTTAAAAATAGTAAGACGTGAGTAGGACCACATCCTGTTGTTTTACCTAAGGTTCCTTGTACCTCCCAATCTGTGCCAATATCCTGACTTAAACTCAGTCTTGTCATAGTCAGCATTAGAATAAACTGAGAGTTTATTCAGATATTTTAGACAGAGTCCCCATTCATTTGAGTGACTCCTTCCCAAGGGGAACACTTTGAAAGATAATACTCATTTACTTTAGTTCAGGTATTTTGAGGGGTTTCTTTACTATATACTCACACGTTATATATGGTCTTTTAAAATTATTCCTGACAGTTGTAATTCACTGTTATGAGGTAAAGTATATGTGGTTTATGGATTTCACATCATAGTCATCAATGTACTGTATGCCTTTGGCTCCCAGTGGCATAGTCTTCTTGAAGCTGTGTCAAATGTTTATTTTCTTGTTTATGCTCCTATACTGGAATGGGGGACAGAAACCTTCTTTTATTCATCTTTGCATCCCCTGTACTTGGCATCCTATAGATACACAGTAAGCTTATTGAATGAGTTGGGGCTGGTATATGGGAGAGACTGATCTTTGGCCCTAATTACATCATAGTCCTGTATTGATAGATTAAATGAGGATTCTTGCTCTATGATAATGGATAGAATAATAATGAATGGAAGATATTTTGGGCAGCATTGCTTAAAATTCATTTCATTGACAATACTAAAGCTTTCAAAAAACTTTTTACAAGTATACATTTTGACTTACCATGCTTTTGATCTTACTCTTCGTATTCATTTCATCTTGTTTAATTCCTATAAGCTATTCTCAAGGGAGGTCCATAAGGAAGAAATACGAATCCTGTATCCAGTGAAATGCGCCTCTCACTGATTTTTCACATGTATTCATACTAACCAGATACATAAAAATAATACATAAAAACAGTGATTAAATATCTAGGTATAGTATGATTAGCAGTGAAGTAAAGTCATGATCCTGTGTCTAAAGTTTTCATCCAGTGTCTTGTTAGTAAAAGAAGTTCACCAATGGGTTTTCACCTGAGAAAATAGATGTGGATAGAGAGCATCCTTGTGTATTATGATTCTGATTTTTTTTTTTTTACAATGTGAGTTATTACAAAACTATTAGGGAAAGGAAGAACGTACTGGGACTTAATAAAGTTTCTATTAAAATATAATATGATTACCATTAAGTTATGTCTTTCCTTTTTATTTTATGTGAGCTAAGGTAATAAAGCTTATTAGTAAAAGTTCGGAATTTATACCCATTTAACCAAAGGTATTTGACCAAACACTATGGAGATAAATGTTTAAATGATCTTTGTGTCTCTGAGAATAGTTTAAGGAGATAAAGCTTCCTACCACCTTAGGAAAAAGACTGATTTGAGGGACAACATCTGACACTAATTTATTTACCCTCCTACTGATTGGTTTCTCAGTGATTGATTTGATTTTTTCTTTTATGTTTTGATATTTTACAGTTCAGCTTTGAATGATGTATTTTAAGTCCAGAAATACCATCCAGAATAAATATTCTTGGGTTTAATTTTGTTGTATCTGTCTTCAGGAGGAATAGGCAGAAGTTAGATTCAGACGGTGCCAGGCTTGTAATTTGGCTCAAAGTGCATGGGGAGAATAATCTCTCTCCTAAAATGAAGCACAAGGATAAGTAATAACTTTTTATGCATGATAAGCATCAAAAATATGAACCTGCTGGTCTTTGCTTTTCATTTTTCTTTACCTCTGTCTTTCAGTGAGAACCTCCTGCAGTGTGCACATGATGTGATCAATAACTCAATAACTTTTTTCATGCAGTAATTATCTCCATGTGATATTATCTGAACACTGTTTTTCTTTAGTACTCAGAAGATGCAGGAGATATTTATATAACCAGCTGATCTCATTTTGGATAAAGGTGCTTTGTGACAGCAGGAAAAATAGTTTATTTTAAATAGCCTTTTTAAATAAATGCTCTATGAAAAGCTTTTCCAGTTAATTTTCACTTAGCATGAGAGGGTGATTACCAAACAGTTTAAAACTTGTACTTTGAATATTTAACAGTACGATAGTCATTCTTTCTAACTTCTAATAATCACAATTTAAATTAAAATATCGAACTTTTTTTTCAGATTTCATACATTCCTATTTGAATTTTTTTTTTTTTTATGAGGAATTCTTAATCTCAGGAAACAAACTGAGGGTTGCTGGAGTGGTAGGGGGTGGGAGGGATGGGGTGGCTGGGCGATATTCGAACTATTTTTAAAAAATATTGAACTACTTAACATACCTATAATTTTTTCCTGATTCCTCTAACTCATTTTAGATATTTACAGAGGGGTGAGCTAAACACATAAGTTCTACTATCTCTGCTTGTCTCACGGAGATTTTCATTATAGGCAGAGATCCTGCAAGAGTCCCGGATGATGATCCCAGATTGCCAGCGCAGGTTGGAAGCAGCACATACTGATCTTCTGCAGTTATTAGTAAGTAAATTCTTCTCTGTGTTCTGTTTAAATGTTCTTTCAGTCTAATACATGGAAGGCCAAAATCTTAAGTATTCAACGCTGTAAACTAGTTAGGGACATATTTTGTTCACTTGCCCTGTGTATCAGTATATTTTAAAATAATTGTTAGAGATTAAATTGTGTTTTCATTAACCTCCAGTAGAAGTACTATAATGAGCATGTTTATTCTGTTTATTTAAACTCAGTTAATTAAATATATTTGAGTTATTATGGTAGATATTCAGAACACTGACATTGTCCAGCAGTATCTTGAAATATTGAGTATTTATACATACAGATCTTTTTTTGGCACATTAAAGATAAGTAGACTATTTAAAATTTTAAAAGTCCAAATGTTTCAAATGATTTGGGCCCTTATGAAAAGGATCTGGAATTCTTTTAGAGTCAAACTTCACTCAGTTTGAGAGGAAAAAACACCTTGTCATATAGGCAGTGCTTTCATATTTACTTGGAGCTGGATAACACTGTTACCGTACTTGCTAATAAAATGCCTTGTGATACAATGGCAGAATCATTTTATAAAAGATTCTAAAAACAATTAAAAGTCCTCTTATTTCTTTCTTAACAGAGATAACTGCATAATACTATATTCAAGCCAGTTGTTCTTGCTGTTTGATGGTAATTTGGTGGATTCTAACATTTCCTTTACTAATCTCATTTTATGTTTCTGTTTCTTGAGCTAATATTAACTAGCTACTAGCTGTCTCATGATTCATAGTTGTGCCTTCTATAACAAAAATCTTATGAGGCTTTCTCAGGATGATTATATGTATTCTTTGAAAAAGGATGACATTTGTTTTCCCACCAAAATAATATTAGGACTATATCTGTAAGAAAAAACAAAGAGAGATATGTTCACATTTTACTTGAATTTTGACACAGAACTCCATATTTAGATATAGGAACCTTTTAAAGTCAGGATAACTCTCCTTCACAGCCAAAAATAAAGCTGTGGTTTTGAAATAAAAGATAGAAATAATTACTATATTAAAATACTGAGACAGCACACCATTTTTATTTCCTGACAGCTTAAACGCTTTTTTCTCTCATGAATCTAGTAGCTGAAAAGGTAATAGAAATTGCTTGAAAAAAATAATACTGTCTTTGGATGATGTATTTGTGTGTATGGATGTATTCAACAATATTTCTACCCTCAAAGAGCTTACACTTAGTAACAGAGAACAGAGACATGTTTAGGTGTAATACAGAGGTTTAAGAAATTTTTGCCTATAGTCTGAGGTAAGCAAATTCTCACTCCTTTTGCTTTAAATTTTCATATTAAAGAAACACACATACTTTATTCCCTCTGCTCTGTAACTGTATATCTCCAGCTTTTATTGACCTGACATGAATAACTGATCATAGCTTTACTTGCTTAAGTAAAAATCAAACAAAAGTTCATATGCAGAATAACTTAGATGATATTATTTCCTTTATTTCTTAGCATAGTAGTATATTAGTAAGAGCTTCATGTATAAAGTATCAAGGAAAAACTCAGTCTTTAAATACAAAAAAATAAAAGGTGTTAGCATTTTGTTTCCTTGTAGTATGATACATAATATTCATTAATAAGCAGACAGTTCAGTTTTCTGATTCAGAGATTATACTTATCTCTGGTGTGACACCACTAGCCATTTTTGTCATTGTGGGTAGTTGTAGGATTATTGTGGTCTGAATGTTATATATGTAACATTTTAGTAAAGCATCATTTTTAATTTTTAGTCCATTAATAATAATCCTTTTTGTATGGTGACATGTTGACAAAATGAGAATAATTTTTTTTTTCATTTTTCTGAGTTTTTTATTTACTTAATGCTAATAGCTTTAGATAACCCTGTTTTTCACTTATTCTGTGAGAATGCTATACAGTGAAAAAAAAACCTGTTATTTCTTCTCTTACCTATAAAGAAAGAACAAAACTGTGTGAAATTATACACTATTTGGATGAGGTTTGGAATCTTTTTTGTTATAATTTTTGAGCTCTTTATATTGGTTTGTAATATTTGAGTAAATAACAGCACTGAAGTTTGAGAAGGATAAATCTGATTTTTATTATATTTCATTTCAGGAGAGTGAAAAAGACTTGGAAGAAACTGAGGAATATAAGGAAGCACGTTTAGTATTGGATTCAGTGAAGTTAGAAGCCTGAAGTTTTTCTCTGCAGGGTGTTTTTTGCATTAAATCTTGGGATCCATTCCACAATTCATTCTTTTTGACCACTGCTGTATGTTCAAGTAGTATGAGAATGTGATTCTTTTTATGCAGTTGCGTATATTTTTCTTTGCCTAATTGAATGTGTCAAATAAATGAGTTCGTCTAATGAGATTGTTTATTTCATACTTTATGAAATATTTTTAATTAACCTTTTATCATTAAATCATAGACATTTTTGACAGAGAATTAAAATCTGTTAGGTTCTCTTTGAAGTCTAGGTATTTTGCTTTATAAGTCTGGATTGAATTAAAAATAGGACACCTTTATTTTTAGATAAAAATCCAAATTTTGAACAGTTTATTCTGAATAGGGTACAACTCCCTCAAAAGAAAGGAAGAACTTCTCTGTGAATAAGGCCTCACATATTTATCCCTTCACAGTGAAGTCTAACATTTCCATTACTGTTAACTACTGGGAACATTTAAATCTTTTTCCAGAAAGAGATTTATACAAAAAACATCAATGATTTAGATCTTCAAATAAGATTCTTATGAACAAAGAATTGACTTGTATTTTAAAGGAATAATAATGGTGTACTGGGAAATGTGTAACAGATCTTCAGAATGGAAGGGGAGCATCTTACTTCTGTGGTATAAATATTCCTGCTGTGACTAATTTCAAGCTACTAACATGACATCACTGAACCCAAGGTTGGGAAGATATGAGCCAGCTCCAGCATACACTATCCATAGCCAAACCTGGATAATCTTGATTGACTGGAAAAGATTATCATTTTATCACAAAGTATTTTTCCAATACAGTTGTAAACCAATTAATTACCTAGTCATTTGAGCTTATTTTCTTAAAAATACATGACGGCTCATTTAGTTTTCTTATATTTCTTGAAAATGTGTATAAGCCTCGTATCATCAGCCTACCATGAGCAGTGATCTAATGAACTAAAATTCTAGTAATAGCATTTAAACTTTAAAACTCATAATTGAAAAAATAACAAAATCTGAATTTTTGCTGCTATGAGATACATACTTGTAGGGTAATTCGTCTGATTTTGGAAGTCGCTAATGATCACTAGAAACCATAACATTTATTGAATCTGTCAAAAAGATCAGAGAAGAGAAAAATAATACTATTCTTTCCCGCTGTTATTTCTAAAGGTTACTTTGTTGTTTTAAAGCACAGAATCCATCATTTTTAAAATCTTTATACATGCAGAAAATTACTTCATCATAGAATAACATACACCAGAAGCACTTCTAAATTGAAATGTCATCCTCTTAAAACATATTACATGTCTTTTTTAAAGTATATGAGGTGGGGAGGGGCAGAGTGAGGAAATAAGACCATAATTACAATGTAAAACTTTTACTGAGGCTTGCTTAATTAGAGATTTGAGTAGCAGGAGAATTAAAACTCTAGATTATTTTGTCATTGGTATTAAGCACCAGAATAGGTTGGCTTCTTGGGGTGGGGGTGGATATTTAGTTTTCCAAGTAAGATATCATTTAAAGAAAGTATTTTACCATTTTTTTAATGTAAAAAATCTCATTTCAGCCTTCTGCCAAATACATAAATATCATATATATTCAAAGCAAAAAATATTGGTCCCTCCAGAAAAAATTCTGAAAGGGAATTTTTATAGCCAGGACCCAAATCTTGGCTGTTTAAAAAAATTATTTTCTTGCCAAAAAGCCTAGGAAAGAAGAAATTAACAAGGTAGATGAAAATAAATGCACCTTTAGAGAATTGCTATCTCAATTATAGATTTCATACTGGATATCTCTCCAGACATTGATAAGAAGCAGCAAGAAGCTTCACATTCAGTGAAGGCTTATTCCTGGAGGTTTTTGACACATTCCACTTCTGTTTTCACGGCCAGCAAGAGGCACAGGAAGTTAAGAACAGTTGTAATTCATTCAGTGTTAGCTTTTTTTTAAGTTTTTAGTTAAAACCTTACATCTGTAGGATAATAGGTAGAATTTTCCAAAAGTAATATTACCTTTTTCTCTCTCCAGTATCTGACCCCCAACCAACATGTAGCAGTTGCTCAGTAAATATTGTTGAATAAGTGAAAAGCAAGAGGTGAAAACCTCTGGAGTCAGAGAAAGAATGCTATGAAGGATACCATCACATCACAAACACAATAATATTTTTACTCCAAACCTCAATAAGAAACATGTTTTCCGTTGTGACCCAGTACCTACTTTTGGAGGTCTCTATATACATGTTAAAACAGTAAGTATCTTTAATATGTACAATTCTCAGTTGTTTTTTATTGTTTTGTTTTTTTAACAATGATTATGACCACCTGCTTTTGGATTGTGAATAACACTACCCTAATACAATTATATAAAGTGCTTCTACTTAAAAGAATTGTCTCTTTGTCTTTCTCTATTTATGATACACAGTAATTGTTTATCCTATATATAAATAAGTAACAGTTTATAATACATATAAACTTGGGTCTCAGAGCAGTTGTCTCTGAATGTGTGCAGTTCTACACATTGCAGGTATAAAGTATCATTGTAACGTAATCATTTAATATTTGTTAGGTGCCCTTAGTCCTTGCACAGACTAATAATGGCCTTCATCAAGCAAATAAGCAAAACAAAGACAGTGACAGAATCAAGTTGTAAACCCAACCTTTCCATATTTTTCTGCATAGTAAAGGGCACATAATTTCTAAGGAAGTAAGAATGTACATAGGATAAAGAAGTAGAAACATAACGTGGAATGAGTTAAAGTAACCAATCCAATGAATGTCATTTTTTTATTCTTATGCTAATCCCCATACATTACATCATTAGTTTTAGATGTAGTGTTCCATGATTCATTGTTTGTGCATAACACCCAGTGCTCCATGCAGAATGTGCCCTCCTCAATACCCATCACCAGGCTAACCCATCTTCCCACCCCCCTCCCCTCTAGAACCCTCAGTTTGTTTTTCAGAGTCCATCGTCTCTCATGGTTCGTCTACCCCTCCGATTTCCCCCCTCATTCTTCCCCTCCTGCTACCTTCTTCTTTTTTTTTTTTTCTTAACATATATTGCATTATTTGTTTCAGAGGTACAGATCTGAGATTCAACAGTCTTGTACAATTCACAGCACTTACCAAAGCACATACCCTCCCCAGTGTCTATAACCCAGTCACCCCATCCCTCCCACCCCACCCCCACTCCAGCAACCCTCAGTTTGTTTCCTGCGATTAAGAATCCCTCATATCAGTGAGGTCATATGATACATGTCTTTCTCTGTTTGACTTATTTCACTCAACATAATACCCTCCAGTTCCATCCATGTCGTTGCAAATGGCAAGATTTCATTCCTTTTGATGGCTGCATAGTATTCCATTGTATCTATATACCACATCTTCTTTATCCATTCATCTGTCGATGGACATCTTGGCTCTTTCCGCAGTTTGGCTATTGTGGACATTGCTGCTATAAACATCGGGGTGTACGTACCCTTTTGGATCCCTACTTTTGTATCTTTGGGGTAAATACCCAGTAGTGAAATTGCTGGATCATATGGTAGCTCTATTTTCAACTTTTTGAGGAACCTCCATACTGTTTTCCAGAGTGGTTGCCCCAGCTTGCATTCCCACCAACAGTGTAGGAGGGTTCCCCTTTCTCCGCATCCCCGCCAACATCTGTCGTTTCCTGACTTGTTAATTTTAGCCATTCTGACTGGTGTGAGGTGGTATCTCATTGAGGTTTTGATTTGGATTTCCCTGATGCCAAGCGATATTGAGCACTTTTTCATGTGTCTGTTGGCCATTTGGATGTCTTCTTTGGAAAAATGTCTGTTCATGTCTTCTGCCCATTTCTTGATTGGATTCTTTGTTCTTTGGTTGAGTTTGATGAGTTCTTTATAGATTTTGGATAGTAGCCCTTTATGTGATATGTCATTTGCAAATATCTCCCATTCTGTCAGTTGTCTTTTGGTTTTGTTGACTGTTTGCTTTGCAAAAGCTTTTTATCTTGATGAAGTCCCAATAGTTCATTTTTGCCCTTGCTTCCCTTGCCTTTGGCGATGTTTCTAGGAAGAAGTTGCTTCGGCTGAGGTCAAAGAGATTGCTGCCTGTGTTCTCCTTTAGGATTTTGATGGACTCCTGTCTCACATTGAGGTTTTTCAACCATTTGGAGTCTATTTTTGTGTGTGGTGTAAGGAAATGGTTCAGTTTCATTCTTCTGCATGTGGCTGTCCAATTTTTCCAACACCATTTGTTGAAGAGACTGTCTTTTTTCCATTGGACATTCTTTCCTGCTTTGTCGAAGGTTAGTTGACCATAGAGCTGAGGGTCCATTTCTGGGCTCTCTATTCTGTTCCATTGATCTATGTGTCTGTTTTTGTGCCAGTACCATACTGTCTTGATGATGACAGCTTTGTAATAGAGCTGGAAGTCCAGAATTGTGATGCCGCCAGCTTTGCTTTTCTTTTTCAACATTCCTCTGGCTATGCGGGGTCTTTTCTGGTTCCATACAAATTTTAGGATTATTTGTTCCATGTCTTTGAAAAAAGTGGATGGTATTTTGATAAGGATTGCATTGAATGTGTAGATTGCTCTAGGTAGCATTGGCATCTTCACAATATTTGTTCTTCCAATCCATGAGCATGGAACGTTTTTCCATTTCTTTGTGACTTCCTCAATTTCTTTCATGAGTATTTTATAGTTTTCTGAGTACAGATTCTTTGCCTCTTTGGTTAGATTTATTCCTAGGTATCTTATGCTTTGGGGTGCAATTGTAAATGGGATCGACTCCTTCATTTCTCTTTCTTCTGTCTTGTTGTTGGTGTATAGGAATGCCGCTGACTTCTGTGCATTGATTTTATATCCTGCCACTTTACTGAATTCCTGTATGAGTTCTAGCAGTTTTGGGGTGGAGTCTTTGGGGCTTTCCACATAAAGTATCATATCATCTGGGAAGAGTGAGAGTTTGACTTCTTCTTTGCCAATTTGGATACCTTTTATTTCTTTTTGTTGTCTGATTGCTGTGGCTAGGACTTCCAATACTATGTTGAATAGCAGTGGTGATAGTGGACATCCCTGCCGCGTTCCTGACCTTAGGGGGAAAGCTCTCAGTTTTTCCCCATTGAGAATGATATTCGCTGTAGGTTTTTCATAGATGGCTTTTATGATATTGAGGTATGTACCCTCTATGCCTATACTCTGAAGAGTTTTGATCAAGAAAGGATGCTGTACTTTGTCAAATGCTTTTTCTGCATCTATTGAGAGGATCATATGATTCTTGTTCTTTTGTTATTGTATTGTATCACATTGATTGATTTGCGGATGTTGAACCAACCTTGCAGCCCAGGGATAAATCCCACTTGGTCGTGGTGAATAATCCTTTTAATGTACTATTGGATCCTATTGGCTAGTATTTTGGTGAGAATTTTTGCATCCATGTTCATCAAGGATGTTGGTATGTAATTCTCCTTTTTGATGGGGTCTTTGTCTAGTTTTGGGATCAAGGTAATGGTGGCCTCATAAAACGAGTTTGGAAGTTTTCCTTCCATTTCTATTTTTTGGAACAGTTTCAGAAGAATAGGTATTAATTCTTCTTTAAATGTTTGGTAGAATTCCCCTGGGAAGCCATCTGGCCCTGGGCTTTTGTTTGTTGGGAGATTTTTGATGACTGCTTCAGTTTCCTTAGTGGTTATAGGTCTGTTCAGGTTTTCTATTTCTTCCTGGTTCAGTTTTGGTACTTGATACATCTCTAGGAATGCATCCATTTCTTCCAGGTTATCGAATTTGCTGGCATAGAGTTGCTCATAATATGTTCTTATAATTGTTTGTATTTCTTTGGTGTTGGTTGTGATCTCTCCTCTTTCATTCATGATTTTGTTGATTTGGGTCATTTCTCTTTTCTTTTTGATAAGTCTGGCCAGGGGTTTATCAATCTTGTTCATTCTTTCAAAGAACCAGCTCCTAGTTTCGTTGATCTGTTCTACTGTTCTTTTAGTTTCTATTTCGTTGATTTCTGCTCTGATCTTTATTATTTCTCTTCTCCTGCTGGGTTTAGGCTTTATTTGCTGTTCTTTCTCCAGCTCCTTTAGGTGTAGGGTTAGGTTGTGTACTTGAGACCTTTCTTGTTTCTTGAGAAAGGCTTGTATTGCTATATACTTTCCTCTTAGGACTGCCTTTGCTGCATCCGAAAGATTTTGAATAGTTGTGTTTTCATTTTCATTGGTTTCCATGAATTTTTTAAATTCTTCTTTAATTTCCTGGTTGACCCATTCATTCTTTAGTAGGATGCTCTTTAGCCTCCATGTATTTGAGTTCTTTCCGACTTTCCTCTTGTGATCGACTTCTAGTTTCAAAGCACCGTGGTCTGAAAATAGGCAGGGAATGATCCCAATCTTTTGGTACTGGTTGAGACCTGATTTGTGTATTAGGATGTGATCTATTCTTGAGAATGTTCCATGGGCACTAGAGAAGAATGTGTATTCTGGTGCTTTGGGATGGAATGTTCTGAATGTATCTGTGAAGTCCATTTGGTCCAGTGTGTCATTTAAAGTCTTTATTTCCTTGTTGATCTTTTGCTTAGATGATCTGTCCATTTCAGTGAGGTGGGTGTTAAAGTCCCCCACTATTATTGTATTGTTGTTGATGTGTTTCTTTGCTTTTGTTATTAATTGGTTTATATAATTGGCTGCTCCCTTGTTAGGGGCATAGATATTTATAATTGTTAGATCTTCTTGTTGGATCGGCCCTTTAAGTAGGATATAGTGTCCTTCCTCATCTCTCATTACAGTCTTTGGTTTAAAATCTAATTTGTCTGCTATAAGGATTGCCACCCCAGCTTTCTTCTGGTGTCCATTAGCATGGTAGATGGTTTTCCACCCCCTCACTTTCAATCTGGAGGTGTCTTTGGGTCTAAAATGAGTCTCTTGCAGACAGCATATCAATGGGTCTTGTTTTTTAATCCAGTCTGATAGTCTGTGTCTTTTGATTGGGGCATTTAGCCCATTTACATTCAGGGTAACTATTGAAAGATATGAATTTAGTGCCATTGTATTGCCTGTAAGGTGACTGTTACCGTATATTGTCTGTGTTCCTTTCTGGTCTATGTTGCTTTTAGGGTCTCTCTTTGCTTAGAGGACCCCTTTCAAGATTTCTTGTAGGGCTGGTTTTGTGTTTGCAAATTCCTTTAGTTTTTGTTTGTCCTGGAAGCTTTTTATCTCTCCTTCTATTTTCAATGACAGCCTAGCTGGATATAATATTCTTGGCT